TACTGAAGTACTTTGTTTGTTTTGGTTTCTTGCATTTCCCCATGGTGATGTCACCAGCAGGCATAAGGAAAGCATGAAACCTCAGTCAGCAAACTAGTAAGGCAGAGGTCAAGAAACCATGATTTCCAGAAACAGAGGAGGTTTGAGATGTGGTGACAACATCAGACTTCCAGAGGGTGTCAAATTTATCTTCTGTGACAGTCCCTACTGCTGAACAAGCTTAAAAAATAAGTTTCTAAAACTGTTACACATGGACCAAGTAACATGTCAGCAAAGTTCTCTTCTCAAAAATGACTACTTGCTCTATCAGGCTGATTTTTAGCTTATTTCAGCTATGACATTAGCTTGTCCATTAATCAGTTAGTCCATCAAACCAAACCACTGCCCATGAGGCATGCATATAATTTAGTATTGTAACAACATGTGCAATTCAAAATACTGCACTGTTTTGGATCTCACATCCCTGAAACAGCCTCTTCGGTATTCTTGACTTCCAAAATCTGTGTTCTATGACATTAAACTGGGTCCTACAAAACCACTCTTATCAGTTAAGCTAGACAATGGACTAGCAGCAACAAGCAGAGAAAGATGATAAAATACAGATGGCAAAGAAGGTGCATGTTTGGGAATAATGGAAAAGAGAATATCTGATAAGAGGGGAAAGGAGGAAAATAAATACAAGGCCACAGAAGAGAAGCCCACAGGAGGAGGAGGAGGAGTGTGAAAAGCCTGACAGAAGGACTGAGTGCAGACTAAAAACAGCATCTGGCAGTAGCTCAACTCAAACAAGGTAGCATATGCAAGAAGTACAGCATACTGAAAACTTCCTTCCTCTTGGGTATTAAATAACCTCAGAATTAAGATAAAGAGTCTTCCCTCCCTCTCCTCTGAAATATCTTGCTCTAAACTCTGAAACAGAAAAAAAAATAAATTAGTTAAACTTTTTGGTGATTGCCATTTCCCAATTACAACTGTGAGCTCTTACTGGAAATTTTCTGACAAAGCTGCAGAAATCAGGCATTGATTTTGATTCATTTTTCTAGTGGGAAACATGACAGTGTGTATCTCATGCCTAACAGACCTAGGGCATCAAGAGGCTAAATTTTGAAAAGCCCCAATCCCCCTAAATAAAGCCCTAGTTCTACTGAAATAACTCTAATTATTCTTCAAAAAATGGGTCTAAGTTTCATTTTCAAAAGCAGCTTAAAAATATGGATTGCATTTCACACTGACAGTGAGACAATACTGCACAGTTGTTTTTGAAACTGAGACTGACATGGTTTTCAAACTGCTGCCTACCGTGTGCTTTTGCTTCCTTTAATTGTCAGTGAATACAGCGCACAAATGTGTCTGTTGTCACTCACAATTAAGAAAATAGAGGTACAGTTGTGAGAACATCAAATACTACAAACTGGGCAGTGCAAGGACAGCCAGCATTCCAAATCTTACACTGCAAGTGATGTTTATGATATTGGCACTGCACAAAACCTGAGAAAGTCCCACATGGGGAAGAGGTACAGTGCTGGCCAGGGACTAATACAACTTCAGTTCTGTCAGCTCTCACAGGGGTGGAACATAGCCTTACAGATAGATGTGCCAAGGCAAGCCATGCACCTTCAGAGAATATCCCCCACATGCTCCACCTCTTTTCTGTCATGATGCACAGGCTGCCACATCTACATCTGACTGCACAGCAGGAACAAACTACAACCACAATCCTTCACCCCGCGACCATCTGGAGCAGGGCTGTAACTGGAGTTTTCTGCTGCTTTCCTCAGGTCCATATGCCCATATTTCCTACATCAGAACCCAGGAAAACAAAGATGAAATGTTGATGCCAGGCAGACCTCACCCTAACAAAGAGCATCTGGTCAAATTTATATTCTGTGACAGTCTCTATTGCTGAGGAACAAGCTTAAAAGTAGGGACCTACACACAGAGAGGCATGAGAAATGAAGGGAGAACTGTCCTAATATAAATGATGAAACAAGAATTGACAGAACAGCCGTGAATAATCCTTGGAGGGGAGTAACAGCCCAGAGATACTATTTTGCTGCCTGTGTAGCAGTGAAGACACAGAAGAATGTACTTTTAACTTGGACTTAGGATGCCAATCTCCATAGGGACTGACAGAAACTGTTTTAAAAACCCCAAACTCTGTGATCTACCTTTGAAATACAGCTGCCTACCTGCATAGAAGTCCTGGATCCTACCATATTAAGTACGCCCCAGTGTTCTGTCAGTATATGCTCATCATTCTCCATACACTTTTAAACTTCTCAAGTGATATTCTTGTATTAAGGTTTGAAGACTGAAACTCAGGAAAATACCAGCAAATGATTCTGTTGCCTTTTCATGCAGTATGCCTGAAAGGTATCAAAAAATTCCAACTTTCACTGGTACTTCTTCAGAAGGCAAATAATCAGGCAAATAATTCCTTTAAATGCCATATGAAATCCCAGTAACAACAAAGTAATAACCCAGTTATTCAACAATAAGGTATCCTTGATATTGTGACTGCTGTGCTGGGCTAATAGAGCTGGCAGAGGAGTAGACATACATCAGGGGACACCATCAACAGGGTCAAGCCTTTAAATTACAAATGCCAGTTTACCAATTGCTTTTACTTAGTGTAAAGCAAGATAACAATTTTATGCACAGCACAGAAGGAGAATGAAGAGCATCAAGTCAACTTGCCACCTGTCTAGCTTGGGAAAGGATCAAGTGTAAGAAGAATTAACAAGAATTAACAGAAAAAACCCACCAAAACATAAGACCTTATCCAGCCCTTAATAAAGATATGATAATACTGAAAGAAACTGTATTAAAACTATTCTAAATCAATAAGGACCATAGAACTAAAACTGGAACATGATAATTTACCAAATAGATGCTTGTCAAAAAGAATAGACTGATTTTTAATTTAACTCTTTATTGAAATCAGGGTTTCTGATAGATACTTGTAGATAGTTTACCTTGGCACTGAAAACTGTCTCATCCTCATCATATCTCTGATTCTTAAATACCATTAAGAGATGAACTGAGATTTTAATTGGTTTAATTTTCTACAGTGTTTTGTATACACACTGCAGAATAAACTTGCTTTAATAAAGATTTGACTGAAAGGCTTCAACTTCAAACTGTCAACCAAAGTGCACACTCCTTCAAAAATAGCATATTAATGTTTCTCATCCCCACAGACTCATGTGACTTCTTTTATCTGTATCCTGTTTCCCACTCGCATAGGAGCGGCTCGTGGCTCTGTCGTACAGCTACAGCAAAACTTTCCAAGCCTCCAGAAACACTATCCAGTTTCATTTCACTCTCTGTTTTTTGCTTCATGCACTGTACTGGATGTGAGCATCTGAACATAAGGCAGTTCTGTGAAATAGACAGACTTCTGGTTGCTTAAAATGACCATTTTTCAATCTAGTCCATAATTTTATGGTTTCACCATCTTTATTAACTGGCTGGCATAAACGTATCCTAACAGTTTCTGAATCAATCTTTCAGAATTTTAGTTTGTCCTCCAACCTACCCTAATCAAGCCACAGCTTAGAAGTTTTTCATTAGATTCTCTGGCCCACAATGAAAGTAGTATTTTCTTTGTATGAATGTAATTGATTGCTCAACTTAAGCACTACAACACTGAAGACCTTTGGCCACATTTTACGTGGTACTTTATGCGATACTGAAGTTTGCTGTTGTGTTTCTGACAGCTGAACAGAATGACACCCTTTGCCAAATTTGAAACAAGGGCCAGTCTGTAGTCCTATGATGATGCCTGGAGAATGATGACTTCTTCAAACATTCATTGGAGCATCTTCCATCAGTTTAAAGACATGAGTTAAAGACCTGAGCCTTTCCTGAAATCAGCATCACTCATACTTTCTAAGTGCCGTTGCCTCTTGTGCCAAAAGCAGTCTGTTCAGCCACCTCAGACTGAGGCCTTTCCAGGGTACTTTTCAGCAAGCACACTTGCCGGGGGTAGCCTACAGACACAGAATTTCTTCCATGGTACTTGAGCAATGCTTCTGTGCTGGCTCTACCAAGTTAACATGAAGTCAAGTGCACGACCTTCAGCTCACATTCATTCGGGAAGTTTTTGCAGTTTCTTTGTTGGAACTATTCCACTTAGATGTCACATGATAAATGATTGTCGATCTTTTCTTTCTCCCCTCCCACACCAGGTTTTTCCAGGCTAAGCTTTTCTGCAAGGCAGAACTACCCACGCCTTATTCTGCAACAAAAACAAAACTGCTTGAAAAACTTCCCTTTGTACTGCCCACCTATGAAGTGTAATCCAGTAATCACTGCTGGATTAAAAATCTTTTCTATGAGCAACCTGCAGGCTCTGTGCACGAACACTTGGTATTTTGACCTCAAGATGGGAGAAGGGCAATGTCAAAGGCTATGCAAAGACACAAGGGGAAGAAGTGAAGCGCCTTAGAAACCAGGAGGGGAAAAAAGTAATTATAAATAAATAAAATCCCTAGTTATTCTAAAAGCCCTCACTATGCAGACAGGAGATACTTCCCTGTAAGAGACAGAATACGTTTAGAAAGAAGTCCAGAATTTCTTGAAAACACCCACTTCCTTGACGATTAAACAAAACTAATTTGTTTACTGCTTACCACAAATCAATAAAAAAGAAAAAACTGCTTGAGACAGCAAGGATTTAAAAGGACTTCCTAAGGAGCTTTTAAGAGACAAAGGCTCAACCCTTTAGGCTTCCTTAGAAATCCAAACTAGAAAGAATTGCATAGACATCAAGCAGGCAATGGAGGTAAAATGAGCACTGAATGATGTGAGAGCCACAGCTAGGTTAAAATATATACTCCACCATGAAAAGATCTAGCAAAAACTACCTTCCATGCTAACCGGGCTTTGCAAAACACTTCAAACCTGAAAATTCAGAAAATTCTGAAAGAGTGTATGGCAGTGTTTTTCATCTGTACTGAAGTGAGAGTATGACATCTCATCTTACTTGTCTTACTTACCATCTGACTTGCACTCAGTCCTTTCAGTCACATAGTAACTTGGTTCCAATGCCTGCTCCAGGACAGATGGTCCTCTGGAATTATCATTTACGTCCTTCATGCACTAGAATACCAAAAAATAAGGGAAAAATCTAAGCTTTAACACTATCAGATGTCTAAGAACCATTCCAGGCTTTTACACACAATTCTTCTTAACAATAAATTCTGAAAGACTGTGATGACCTGCTCATCCATGAAGAGAGTCAACCACTGATGTGTGGGATGAAGTGAAACACAGAAAGGAGATGAAGTATACTGCCATGTTATTATTGATGAACACACTTTTGTTTATTGCCTGCATAAAGGAACTGGAATCTACCAAAAACAAAGGGCATGTACCATAAAATGTTTTAATATTTAAGGAAAAGGAGGCAATCCATAAACTCAACTCCCTTAGGAGCCATCTGCACCATATGGAGAAAGCCCTCAGCTGAAATCATAACGCCCCATTTCACTAAAATCTCCAAGAGGGCTTAAAGGTCTGAATATAAGACAAAAGCCCTAATTTGTGAAGGACTGTTCAATGCATCATATCTATCACACAGTGGAGCTAACTGAACACATAATTTGGGGACAGTCCATCATAACCTCAGACACTGCGTGCCCAACATGCCACTAAAAGCATGGCAAAAACATGGGCAAAGTAGGTCATGCAGGCAGGTGGAAAGAAATTCACCTCTAACAAACTGCAAAGACCTTTTCCTCTTTCCCACATTCAGCTAAGGGAGAGGCCAGAGACGCCTTTTTTTTTTTGTCCAGATTACAAAGTGCTCTGCCTTTGAGGCTTATGTGATTTGCCATCTACTCCTAAAGGATCTTGCACTGTGGACAGGCCAGTTCATCACAGTCTCTTCCAAAGTCCACAGAGACAAACAGAACTCTTTATATTGAGGCCAATACACGATGCCTCACAAACCCAATCAAGAAGTCTCCTAAGAACATGAGTTTAAAAGGCTAAACTCTCCAAGTGTCTTCTCCTACAGAGATACTGTTGAAATCCTTCACCTAGAAAATTCTTCTTCTGGTTCTGAACAGGCTAATAAATCCAAGATTATTTAGACATGTAAACTTTGCCTCTGAGAGTGGGACATGAGGTGATCACTGCATATAGAGCAGCATATTTGTATGTAAAAGAAGGACATACTTAAAAGTAAGTCACATTTTTAGAAGACAACAGTATACAAGAAGACAGCATCTAGGTAAAAGCAAAACATGAGATTAATGTGTGAGGCACTCCTCAAAAAATCACCTGATGCAATATAGCACATCTTAGCACTAAACAATCCTCTGCTAACCAGGACAAGGCATTAGTAAGGGATGAAACTGGCTGCAAAGGCCTGGATACATGCTGTCTCTTTCACTTGTAGTAATACAAACATAGTATGTGAGTCCAAGAATAAGAATAACTGTCCGTGTACACAGTGTGTCTCAAAACATAATCCAAAAGTTATTCCTAAAACCAGAAAAAATAAGAATAAGTCATACAGCTGGTATTTATACTTTTATAGCCACTTAGAAACACGTCTCCCTCCTTCCCAGGAAAATATGACAATGGATTATTTTCAGCGAGATGTTTTTATTAAGTTAGTTTTCTGATGCAATTTCTTCCATCCAGGTTTAAAACCAGAAAAGATGTATTTTGCAGGCAAGTGCCAAAGGAAGTCAACCTTCTTTTACAGAGCAGGTGCTACTCAAAACAACTTAAAAGTACCATAAAAAGATGGTGTGGAAAGTTCTAAGTCTACCAGCAGCACCTCCACTGCCCCTCAGACTTGCCAATGACATGATTGCCAGTTGTGTGCAACAACTTCTGAGAAACAGGCTTTGCAATGCACTCATGTCCCTCCAGCAGAACTGCTGTGATGTGCAGAACCAAGGAGTAACTGGGTTTTGTAAGGGACTTTGTGTCTTTTGGCTCACTACTGAAGGCCAAACTACAAGCCTAAACTGACCCAAGTGATCTAATAAATTATGTTATACCTCTCTATACAGCACTTCTTGTCCGACACAAAGGGCTCTGGTATCTGAAGCACCCCAGCACGCAAAAGTTATTACTTCTGTTAAGTGGAAATCTAATTAACTTTGCATGCACTCAGTCCAAGCAGAAGAGCTAAAATTCAGGTCAGGAGTGGTTTGTGCTTTTGAAAGAGTAGAGTAAGAATATTTACATTTAGTTACTGTGGTTCAGTTGACACAAGGTAAGCCAGTCACACCTAGTTTTTAGAATAGAGCTGCTTGCGTTCTAGCATAGAGGAAAGACAGTAGCCACAAATGGTTTCTTTGACCTCCCTTAGTGCCTGCAGTTCGTCACAATATTCTGGTATAAATAAAATACTGGTATAAAACTGTTTTCTTTACACACTGCATACAAAGAACTTGATATCACAACATTTCCAGAGAGACCAAACGAGTAAGAATTAACGTTAAAACTCTATACTCTTCTATAAAGAGAAAGTTGCCTCTTAAACTATATCCTACTGTTGTATTCTGCATTCAGTGCAGGTGCCTTGCCAGACTCCACACTTAATTTTGTTCTCTATCTACACTGCCTCCAAGCTCAAGCATTTCTCACCTGCTTCCTCTTTCCCCATCATGCAATTTAGGGACAGGTGTAGTTTTACACTGGTGAAAGAAACACCCATCTACTGCCTTATATGCCCCATCTTTCTGTCTCTCCAAAAGCATGTGAATGATCAAGGAAAAATACCACTGAAGCAAGGCAGGAATCACTCCTGCCACTGAAAATGCATTAAGGTTTATTCTCAATTAGCTTATACCTTGCAGTTCTTATTGGTGCAGAACTGATGTGAAAACAATGCTGAAATCTGGCAGCATTTTACACCTTACTACACACTGATGTAGAAGACATAATTCCTTCTGCCCTTGACTACAAGGAAAACATTCAAGGCCATGTAATTTTACAGAAAGCAACTCATATTAAACAATAAAGGCAATACAACTGCATGACCTTCCTTTTAAAACTCTGGTGTGTCCTTTGTTATTTTGACACAAGCAGTTAAAACCAGTCACAGGAGCACTCACTCATGTACAAAAGTGCAGGCAAAATCAGGCTCTAAGTTAAGAGACGATTTCAGCACCTAATTTTGAGTTGTGTGAAACCCCTAGAGGATGTGTCACAGAGGACTGAGAAGCAATTTCCAAATTTCTGGTGGCAAATACCAGAAGCACATTCAGATTACATGGAACCAAGAGTGACTTTATCTTGTGCTACGCATGAGGAAAAGCCCAAGTTTTTAAGCTACCGAGTTAATTTTTTCTGAAAACAGTGACATGGTCAGCCCAAATGCAAGTAAGAATTATACACACAATTATCTGTATAATGGTACTGACAGGGTAACAAAGCAGGTTAAACTGCAGGATCATCATCACAGTAATGCAATTGCAGAGGATGGAACAAAAAATGATAAAATGGTTTATTGCTAATGTTCATTTTTTCCTTCTTCTGGGAAGGATATAGCATCTATTCCAAAGGACACATCATTCAGACAATCCATAGCGATGTTGTAAGATGTTCCCTCACTCAATCTACAACCCCCAGAGAAGAATATTTGCCCAAAATGGGACTACACGGAGCCACACACTCTCCTTTTGTCCTTACATTCCCTTTTCTCCCTCTTGAGAATGGACAAACCAGAAGATAGGGCTGAGGCTCTTGGGGCAGAGGAACAGAAACATGTTATTAAAATTAAGTATGTACATAAGTAGTTTCTGTCTCGGGATCTGAAGACCAAGTTTAATTAACCACCTGGGTGGAAAGCACAGCTTATATAATGCAGACTATCTGAGGACTGCCATCCCAGTCATTCTACACAACCCCTTTTAACTGCTAAGTCCACATCAGAGCAATTTTTACTGGCATAAACAACATAACTGGCATGAGGGACCTGGATGCCAACTCAGATAAAGAAAAAAGAAACAGGTGTTTAAAATAGAGTAAATAGAGACCCATCCATATTACATATTACACAGGCTATTGAATAGCTCTGTAAGGGAAATAGGGTTTTGTTCCTTCTTAAACTCAAAAATTAGTTTGTCATTAGAGAGTTACTCAGTGCTAAATAGATACTGACAGATTCTGCCACCGTCAATGACAATGTGTCCTGGAAAAGATCTGAGGACTTCAGCTCTTGTCGACCTGTACTCTGGAAGTCTCCTTTCCACAATACTGAATGCTTATGAGGTATCAGTAAAAAGTATGATAAACTTGAAGAAATTTCAGCTCTGGGAACAAGAGAGGTTTGTTCATTGAACACTGGATCATCTGGTTGTGAGCCCACAGCTCTCTGTCTCAATGATTTGAGAGCCTGTCTTTGGTTTCCCGTTTCTCCATTTTTTTTTCAGATTCAGCTCAAGAGACTGCTTACCATTCTGTGGTTGTAGAGTTCTTAGCTCAGAGGGTCCTTAATAATTCTTGAGGAATTTGTATGAGTCCACCATCCAAACCATCAACACTTGAGGTTCACTTTGTGTTGCATTTAGCATGATCTAACCTTTCACTGCTGCAGAAAGAGAGGGGTTTGTTTCATCCTGTTCAGTGTCCTCTACTGCATCCTATCCCCTCTCTTAGCTATCTATTCAGCAACAAGGCTGCTTCAGTTTGCAGAACCAAGAGAGAATTCATTAATGGGGTAGGGTGTGGATTAGCCATCACTGGGGGAAAGAAAAGGGGACCCTTCTCAAAGAAAGCTCACTGCTAGATTAAATGCTAAGGTGAACTGCACTCTACTTACAGGGATTTACAGGACTTCCCCGGGGGTTCAGCTCATTGTACATCCACATGTACATTGTAAAACTAAGGTTAAGCAAGTATCAAATTAAATTCAACTCCTTTGTTACAGCATAATGATTTTTGTGAACACCTCCCACCAATTTTACCCAAAAAAGAGTGATAAAAATTCAACCTGGAAAAAAATATTAATAAAAAAATTAAATAGGCAGCCAAACATTAAATACAAAACTTAAAACAATATTCCCACTGGAAAAAAAAAATTCTGTTTCTTTAAAAAGCTATTTTCTAGCCACTAAATAAAGGTAAGCTCAGAAAATTACACGTGATACATGTAATTCACATATCTAGGATGCATAACTATCCTACAGAGCATTTATAGCAGTTACTTGAAATTCTGATGTCACTCACAACAGATATATCAGCTAGTAGTTTTAAAACCTCAATCATATATTAAAAGCTATGACCGATATTGTTTTCTGTGCATAGAGATAAACATCCTGCTCAAAGATCTGAACTCCTATTTAAAAACAAAACCAAACATTAAGAATAAGAAGCACCCAGTATGGTTCTGAGACACATACGTGGCTGCATTGCATATTCCCTGCCTACACTGGCAGTGTGGGAGCTGTTAGTCATCTAATGCGCATATTTGCTTGGCACCATGCCTTTACTTTCGCATGCAGGCAGGGAAGATGATCACCCATTTACTGCATCCTTACATCTGCACTGCATGTTCATCAGGCAGCATATGACCAGGCCCTCCCAGCTCAAGCTGCAAGCTGTTGGGAGGCAGTCCAGTTCCAAGTGAAGCCCAAGGACTGGAAAGTTATTAAGCACATTTGTAAAGGAAAGGGCAACATTTAAATTCATGATGTCTAGACACATTCTCTGTTGGGACCTAATAACATGTTTATTTAAGAATAAGGACTTCTTATTGAATAGAGGCCTAATTTAGTTTTGCTTTCAACCCTGGCATAGATCCTTTCACTATTTTCAAGGGCATGAGAGGTTCTCAAGCTGGTTTGCTTTACCTGTCCTGCTCTGCACCTCTGTTCTGGAGGGGCCTGGAACAGAACTTAAATTTAATTTTCAAGTAAGGCCATCAAAATTCCATTGCCCAGACTACAGCAGGATCAGACACCCCATCCTTTTGGTATCCCAATTTTATTTGAGCCATATAAAATGCAAACAAGAAAAGTGTACTTTTTTAGTGTAATGTTGATGGTGAAATCTGAAGAGTAAGGGTCCCTCAGTGTTATCAGACTTCCACAGAATAGTTCTGACCATTTCCCTCCCAATGTCCTGGAATACTGCAAACTGGTATTTTACCATGAGATACCTCACGTTACAACCTCCTTTGTGTAGAGCTAACAAAGCACCAAAGCAACTGCTTTCTGACACTCAAGGGAGGTGGCTCATGCCATTGCTCAGATATCTCAGTGGTGAAACCACTTCAGACTGACTGCTACACTTACATCAAGAAGTCTCACACTGCTCCACTCCCCTGTAGAAACTGGCAAGGCCAGCCTTCAAGGGTGATCTGGGACTACCTTGCAGGACCTCTCTAAACCCCTTGATTATTCTAAATGCCTTCAGCAATATGGGCTGCCATGTCCCCACTGGTTTTGACCCAAATGTGCACAAGTTCAGATTCCCAAGGACCGCGGTGTACTGCAGTTACATCCTTGGTGCAATGTCTGCTGACTGCACTCAGTGTTCATATCTAGCTGAAGGGAGCAGCTTTTGACAAGCAAGAGTTCTGAACAGGTAGGATCTGGTTTGATCTAGTGAAGGGAGCTCTGTCTTTAAATTTGATGACAGTAAAAAGAAATATGTGGGAAGCATCCACAATAATCAACCATCTCAAGGTAATTAGCAATTAATTTAGTGAGCTACTAAAGTCTAGTGAAGATGAATCCTGGGAGATTCTGGTCACAGTTTCCCTGATGTAAATCTAGATTAACTCCTAGAGAGAATATCAATCTCCATGACAGTTACTTCAGATTTACACCCAGCTACTCTGAATTTGTGCACTTGTTTTCACAGCCGTGTGGGAGATCTGTCTCAACACAAATCAGCTCTGCTCTTATGCAGATTCTGCAAGATACACAGAGTTACAGTTCTGTAGAAATCCAGCCTTGGTGAAATGGGGAAATTGAATTCTCCACTGAAGAAACCTAAGCCTCCCACATCACAGACAAAAATTCTGCTACAGAGCCTGCCACTACAAGTGGTCACAATAATTTCCTTAATTTTCAGTCTTCACACAGTAAGGATAATTCCCTCTCACTGGAATTCACAAAGCACAACAGTAAGTGTCAAGATTACTACATTCTTCTGCCTAGTACTCCTAAGAGTATTAAGAACAGCAGATCCACAGAGTCAGTTTTGAGTCCAGTCTTACAACCCCAGCAAAATCCACACAATTGTTCAAGGTCATCTTTCCAAGAGGCTACAGAGAGCACAAACACCTTCTGGCCATTAGCACTGATGCTTGCGATGCAGACTGCAGTTGCATCAGAGAAATTTGATATGAAAACAGGAGATATTGTCCAGTCACATGGTTTGTCACCCTTTTACCAGCTTTACTCAGTTCCGTATCCTCTTCTCTGCACAACCACAACTTTCCCCTTTCTTTTTCCATAAGTTCACCACTGATGTAATGCCTCTTCCCACCCACATGAATCTCAGTCCTAGCTGTGCAGCCCTGGTCATGAAAGTCTAAGCTGATTCAGAGAAGGTGTATGCCTGCCTGTGTGCTTCCAGAATACAGGTCACAAAAAGAACAGTGACTGGAAACAAAATGGTAATGGTAATTTTTAAGGGGGCTTTATCTTATAAGAGATCAGATTTTCTCTAAGCTGTTCAACACAAAATAATTTCTTCTACACAGGGTGTATATGAAGCTATTTAGAATGCTATTGCACAAAAATGCTGTGTGGACAGTGTGCAAGTATTGCAGAATATTGTAGCATGCCACAATATAAACAATTCAACACTTTAATGTGATGATGCAAAATAACCTCCCCTCCAGATGCACCAGGAACTAAATCCCACAGAACCCTACAGTTCTTCTCTCAAATTCCATCTCAAACTACTGGAAAGAAATAAAGCTAAAATTACACACAAGTCTCAGGTGCCTTTTCTGAACTTAACTGAACTTCACCAACAGGTGAGATAGGAGCTCAACTGGTTACTGATGGCTGGACATAAATATCCTGCTTAATTTCTAGAAGAGTAAGTGGACTGAAAGAAATCTTTCTTTGTACTATTTCTCAAAGAGCACACCAGCTGACTCATCTTCCTGCCTAAAGTACAACATGAAAGTAAAGCAAAGCAAAACAGAATAGCTCAAATTATCAAAACCAAAATTGCTTTCTAGAGTAGCAGGAGATAGACTAAAAACAAAATTGGATGCCAATTCACAAACTGCCATTAAATTTCCAGGAAGCCAATCCACCAAGGAACATACTGCACCCTAGAGAGTCCTTAATGAATAGTGACACATTTGCAATAGGCTAGTTAAGGTTTTGCCAGCATTTAGGTTTTAAATCCCTCATATATTAGCAAAACAAACTTGGAACTCACTGGAAAATTATATACATGGTTCCAGTCCAGGAAGAGAGACTCAGGGAGGGAGGTGGGGAGAAAGTGTTAGTGCCACAGTAGGTTGGATGTCATATTTTAATTTTAAAAATAAAAAATAAATTAAAATTTGAATAAAAAGGAGAAGCTTTGAACCATTACAAGTTTCAAAGGCAGAAAACATTTTGGCAGGCATTTAAGGCTGAATCCTTCAGGTAGTAAGTGCCCTTGAGTCTTATCTCAGTGGGACACGGGTTGCTAGCATCCTCCCAAAGAACGAGAGATCCCCAATGTCTGAGTACACATTTAACATCCATGGGTCTCAAAGCATGAAGTTGTTCCTGTGATCTGGATCACTGTCCATCTATACTTCCTCTGTTATTATTGCATTAAAGAACTTGATCATTCTTCTTTCACAGGGCTCATGATGTTTACAGTCCAGGGCCCAGAAGATAAGCACTATAAACTTTCAAACATGATGAAATATAAAGTACATATAAGAGCTTTATGCACTGAATATAATTTGCATTATATGGAGCATTACTCTCCCCTTGATGTTTATATATGGAGTATTTAATGGTATCTTGGCACTGTTTTTTTTTTTTTTTTTTAACTAGAAGCTATATGGCATCTAATTTGGAGCCCCTACAGCTTTCAACCCCATCAGCTGGAACAGACTGCACGCTTCTGGCTTCCAGTTCTTGGAAATGGATTGCAACAGTGCAGAGAGGAAGCAGCATTAGACATTGTTAAGAGAATGGACAGCACAGACAGAGGCACCTCATGACCATCTAATCTGCATCAAATTGTCTCAGTACTCAGGTAAGGCCAGGAGGATTAAAGGTAAAGATGGTAAGCTCAAAGCAAAGCCAGTAAGTGATTTCAGTAACAAATGGAGGCCCATGAGTTGACTGCCTAGATCCTTCACTGTCTTAAGTGCCTCTAAATGTCTCGTATCCTTCAATACTCCTGGTACCTTCACAGCTCTGCACATATACCCAAGAACTGCCTGCCGAGTGCCTCAGGACTTGACTGCATCCAGGTCTGTCCCAGTCGTGAACCCCAGCTCCAGCAGTGGGTCATGCAAGGATCCCCATTTTATCCTGCCCCACGCATTGTGCTGGAGTAACAGGTGACAGCAAACAGGTATTGGGGCTCCAGAGCCATGCCACAGCCTTCCGTGCTTGTTTATTGCCAGCTCAGCACCGATTACTGCCCCTTTGAAGCACTCACCCATTTAAAAGAACTACAGGTTTCTCATAGAGTCCAGGCTGTGCCTCAGACAGCAGTGGCAGTCTGCTATGACTTTTCTTAGAAAGGAAGTTGGGTACAACAGAACAGTTCCTAGGTCAGGAGCTCCCCACCCTGTCTAATATAGGACTTTCCACAGTAGGCCAGTATTGTCTTAATTTTACTTGATTTTGTTAAATATTTGGATATTACAAGATACAAAAGAGCCATATATACATGTACCTGAAACATGA